GTCACAGCTTACTCCAAGGAGAGGTGGTCACAAATTGCAACAATTGTCTCACTGGGATAGTCCGAAAAGCGCAAATGACCATTCTAGAGATAGGTGGTCATTAGATGATGGTGAGTGTCAGTCCATGTGGGACACTATTTTAGACACAGTGGGGCACTTGTTGTGTTGTGGGAAGAGTTTACAATCAAGATATGCAAATAATAGTTGAACACCAGAACTTTGCATTTTTTTCATTGTTTTGGGACTGAGTTATACTATATTTTATTGTCGTATGCACATATTATGCGCGGTCCACATGGTTACATATATATTATTGTGTGTTTAAGTTCACAATTTAGGACTGCTGCAGTTGATAATTAGAGATTTTGATATATCCATAAGCACATCAGCACATTTTTTATGTTTTGGATCACTGTCCATCTGTACTGTGAAGTGCCATCCAATCAACTTTGCTGCATTTGGCTGAATCTGGGCTGACAGTATATCTCTAAACACTGCAGAATTCATCCTGCTGCTTCTGTCACATCATCAATAAACATGAATGACCAGTGCCACTGGAAGCCATGCATGCCCATGCCATCACAATGTATCCATGAGCTGTTTCAAGCCTTCTCCACACTTTTTTCTTCCTGTCATTCTAGTACAGATTAATTTTAGTTTCATTCGTCCAAAGAATGCTTTTCCAGAACTGGTCTGGCTTTTTTAATTTTTTTTGGCAAAGTCTAATCTGGCTTTTCTATTCTTCAGGCTTATGAATGGTTTGCACCTTGTGGTAAACCCTTTGTATTTGTTCTCCTGAAGTCTTCACTTGAGTGTAGACTTTGACAATGATACGCCCACCTCCTGGAGAGTGTCCTTCACTTGTCTGGATGTTGTGAATGGGTTTTTCTTTATCATAGAGAGGATCCTGCGATCATCCACCACTGTTGTCTTCTGTGGACATCCATGCCTTTTTATGTTGCTGAGCTCACCAGTGTGTTCTTCTTTCCTCAGAATGTACCAAACTGTTGATTTGGCCACTCCTAATGTTGCTGCTATCTCTCTGATGGATTTGTTTAGTTTTTGAAGCCTTACAATTGCTTGTTTCACTTGCATGGACAGCTCCTTTGAACGCATGATGTAGGTTCACAGTAATAGATTCCAAATGCAAATACCAAACTTAAAATCAACTCCAGACCTTTTACCTGCCTAATTGATGAAGAAAATAACAAAGGAGTAGACCACACCTGGCCATGAAACAGCGTTTGATTCAATTGTCCAATTACTTCTGGTCCCTTGAAAAAGGGGGGATGGCTACTCTTAAGAGCTGTAATTCCTAAACTCTTCCTCCAATTTGGATGTACATATCCTCAAATTAAACCTGAGAGTGTGCACTTTCAGCCCATATCCATTATATAACTATAGCTTTAATATGTTTTGGTAAATACCTGAAAACATCTAAAATTGTGCCTGTGTCCAAATATATATTTACCTAACTGTACCAACACAAAGTGACACATAATTGTCAAGTGGAAGGAAAATGATAAATGGTTTTCAAAATTTTTTTACGAATAAATATCTGAAAAGTGTGGCGTGCATTTGTATTCAGCCCCTGAGTCAATACTTTGTAGAACCACCCTTCGCTGCAATTACAGTTGCAAGTCTTTTTGCGTATGTCTCTACCAGCTTTGCACATCTAGAGAGTGAAAGTTTTGCCCATTCTTCTTTGCAAAGGACCAGGAGAGAGCAAAGTCACAGAGGCCAACGGAGTGTAGTTTACTTGAGAGGAGCGGGTGGTCGACTGTGTCAAAGGCAGCAGAAAGTTCTAGGAATATGAGTATGGAGTAATGGTCATTGGTTTTATCAGTTAGTAGGTCATTACTGAGTTTTAGTTGGGCAGTTTCACTGGAATGTTGTGGGTGGAAGCAAGATTGTAGAGGATTGAAAAGGTTGTTGTCAGTGAGGTAGCAATTCATATGGTTGTGAACAAGGCGCTTGAGAAGTTTGGAGGCAAATGGGAGTAGGGATATGGGTCTTAAAGTTATTCAAACAGGTGGGGTCCAGCGAAGGTTCTTATAAGTATAGGGGTAACAGTGCATGTTTGAGGGGGAGGGAAAGGTGCTGGTGGAGAGGAAGAGGTTGAAGATGTGGGTTAGAGAGTTTAGGATACAGCAGGAAGGAGGTTGCAATAATCGTGAGGGGACAGGGTCCAGGGAACAGGTGATAAGGTAAGCCTTGGAAAGGAGTTTGTCAAATTCCTCGGTGGTAACAGGGTCAAAGGAGGAGAGTATTGAGTCTGGTATTGGGCCTGGAATGTTGGTTGGAGGAGGATGCTTGATAATGGAGATCTCTTCACAAATTGTGTCGATCTTGTTCTTGAAATGACTGGGAATCTCCTGGGCAGTAAGTTGGTGGGTGGAGGCAGTGGGGGATGGAGTAAGGAATAAACGGTAGAAAAGAGCAGATGAGGATTGAATAAGAGGGTTTTGATGAGAGTGTTGTAGTAGGTTTGTTTAGCAGCGTGGAGGCTAGAGTTGTATTTGAGAAGAGCGGATTTGTAGAGGGTGAAATCTTGCAGGGATTTTGTTTTATGCCATGCTTGCTCAAGAGCACGTCTGCATTTCTTGAGACTTCAGAAACAGGAGAAAAAGACGAATACAGTGCACTTCAAAAGAGCAGAGGGACAGAGAGGGAGGTGTAGGAAGAACCTGGAATGTGCTTTGTGTAGAAAGTTGAAGTACAACTCTGCCCTCTTTTCGTCCACTGAGTTTGGGTGAGTCAAGAGTAGGCCACCATGGGAGAGTGTAGCTGAGGAGACAGAGTCATTCCTAGAGCCAGGTTTCGGTAACAGCAAGTAGGTTGAGGGAGTGGGAGAGGAAGAGGTCATTGACAGTGGAAAGTTTGTTAGAGACTGAGCAGGCATTCCAGAGGGCACATAAGAGGGAGGGGCTGGTATGTGGAAGCAGGGGAATTGAGATAAGAGAGCGATGGTTGGGTTACGGCTAATGCCAGAGAGGGGAGACTTCTGATTGTGGGTGGGAGTTTGATGGTGGACAGCCAGGGATTGGGGTGATGTGTCCGTAAATTGGTAGTAGTAGGAGGGTGAGGGAGGTGGAGTGGGATTTATGAGAGGGAAAATGCCACAGTGACTTTGGAATGCTAACATTATGTGGGCTAAGAGAGAGCAGAAGATGATAATTGCAATGATATTGAGAGGGCAGAAGTGAGGGTGTTATGCACAGGTTGTGGGGTGGTGAGGAGGGGTAAAGAGAGAGGTTGAGGTTAGAGGGCTTTATAGCAAAAAAGAATGTTATTAAGAGCATATTGGTGAGCAGAAATAAGTAAGGAAGGCTGAGGGAAAAAGATAAGAAAGGAAAGAGCACTTGCAGACTACTTGGGGTGCAGCACTAATGTTTGTACTTGCCTTAGATAAAGTGCTGTGTTCAAAGTGCCATGCACTTAGCACCACAATGGCACTTTGCACAAGGAATGGCCACCCTATCCCCTCACCAGCTGTCCCAAGGACTGTACTGGATGCACTTTATAACAATTTAATTTTTGGTGACATATGTAATAATTTATGTTTGTTATTTGAGAGGTTATTCACCTGTGAACCCAGGCTTATAAATGGATATGAAGGGAAATCTCCCCTATGGCTCACACAAGGCATAGAAGTCTGACAAGGGTTTTAAAGTGGAAGTAAAGCCTGCAATATCTTCCCTCATTAAACAGTCCAAGGTCCCTCACCAGCAATTTTCTTCCATGAGCCATGCGTTTGCCTTATGGTGTCACCCCAGATCTATGCCAGAATGCAAACTGCATTCACAGCTCAGTATACACATTCTAAGCCCTGGTTCATACTGATGCAGTGAAACGCATGTGACTCGGATAGGAATCGCACTGCATTCCTGTTCAAATCGTGATCCTTTGCAGTGTGATTTGAACCCATTCATTTTGTATGGCACTTCTGCCTGGCAGTGCTAGGGTCGTCAGTTCGAATCCCACCCACGGCACCACCTGCCTGGAGTTTGCATGTTCTCCCTGTGCCTGCGTGGGTTTCCTCCGGGTACTCCCGTTTCCTCCTCCCACACTCCAAAGACATGCTGGTAGGTGAATTGGCTCCTGTCTAGAGATTGTCCCTAGTATGTGTATGTATGAATGTGAGTTAGGGATCTTAGATTGTACGCCACTTGAGGGTTAGGGACTGATGTGAATGTACAATATGTATGTAAAGCACTGCGTAAAATGACAGCGCTATATAAGTACCTGAAATAATAATAAATAAATCATGCTGTACCCACATGATAAAGGTGCACGCACCTTTTTGGGTTTTTTTTTCGTTTTGCAGCAGTGAAATAGCATTGCATGGGTGGTCACACCTGTAGGATCCAATTCAGCCAACCGCACTGTGTTTGGCAAACTATTTTTGGGGTGTCATTAACAGTGACACCCAGTGTTCAATCTGGAGCTAAAGAAGCCTGCAAGCAGGCAGGTAGGTGTATTTTAGTGCATGTCTCTTCTACAATAAGAAGCCTGCCTCCTCATACATTTTAAAATGCACATTTTGGTTCCACTAACTACTTGACAATTAAAAAAGGCTTTTGATTTGACATCTATATGAACACTAACAAGGTAAACATGGACATACACTAGGACACCAGCTTCCACAAATGGGAATTTCGGAGTTACCTTTCAACGTCTCACAAGCAGTGTTATAAGAACACGCATACTTTTACTTACACTGCTCGCTGCCGGCATAAATTTTAAATAAAGATGTGTCTTTCAAAAGACGTATAAAAAAAGCCACGCTCCAAACATTACGTAAGGAGCTGACTGAGCCTATCCATTGGCTATGAAATACACTACTGACGATTGGCCAGGATAGGCAGGCTCTGTGAGTCATTGGCAGTATCAGACGCGAAGATTTGTTGCCTCGGCAGGCCAGTTCTCTCTCTTTTCTTCCGCTTTTTTTCTTTTTTTCCCTCTTCTCGCCTTACGTCATTTCCTTTTCTCCGGTGAGGCGGCAGCCATATTTGCTTAGGTTTGAAATGGCGAATAACAGCGCGGCGGCCCTGGCCGGGACCCCGCAACCCACTCAAACGAGCGGCGGTGGGAGTAAGCCGGCACCTTCAGGGAAGCCTGGGAATGTGCTGCCGCTGTGGGGCAATGAGAAGACTATGAACCTGAACCCCATGATCCTCACCAACATCTTGTCCTCGCCATACTTCAAGGTGCAGCTGTATGAACTGAAGACGTACCATGAGGTGGTGGATGAAATCTACTTTAAGGTGAGGCCTCAGGAGAGGAAGGGGGGTCGGCTCCCAGGGTGGGACTGGCTGGGATGTATGTTGGGGATCACTGTGGGCCTCATGGTTGAAGGTTGAGGCCAGATATCCATTCAGCATCAGGAATGAACAGGAAGCCATCATCAAAAGATCACTTTACCGCCTTCATGCCAGGAGGGACAAGCTGGTGGGGTATTTGGGGAATGAACACAGGGCTTTCATACCACCGACCTTAGACTGCCCACACACTACACAATCAGATTGTACAATTCTCTTTAGATTTACAAAAATGTAATATGAGGACAAATCTATTTCATTCAATTGTATCACCTCAGACAGGCCAGCATGCACTATATAAATGATGTTATGTGGTGAACTGAGATTGTATAGTGTATGGTCACCTTCCGGCTGATTATACACTTTCAGTCTGCTTGTGCAGTTTCCTTACATCTCCCATCAGCTACTGTATGTAGTGCAAGAGACTGCCTGATTGGATGCTAATCTCTAAAGTAGATTATATTATCAGATGGTGAGCTTGAGCTCCAGAAAGTGTCGTTCCCCCCCCCCCCCCCCCCCATGACCGTGGTTTTTTTTGCTATTCAACACTGTGCTACTTTAACTAGCAATTGTGTGGTCATGCAACACTGTACCCATATTAAATTTTTATCATTTTTTTTCACACAAATAGAGCATTCTTTTGGTAGTCTTTGATCACCTCTGGGTCTTTTAGATTTTATTATATTAACAAAAATTAAATAAAGATATTTTCACTTTCTTTTTAAAGCATATCCAGTAAAGTCAAATTTCTTCATAAATGTAGACCAAAGTGTACTCTGCTATGGTAACAAAAAAAAACAGTAAGTGTGTATTAATTGGTCTGTCTGAAAGGTACAGTGTCTACAAACAGTGGTGCATATATAAGGGCCCTCCTAACCCTCTTGTATTGAACTGTATTGTTGCTGTATTGTCTCCCGTTATATTGTAAAGCGCTGAGCAAACTGTTGGCGCTATATAAATCCTGTGTAATAATAAAAAGGAATTTATGCAGCCATAGATGCTATACTAGAAATGACGGTGATCAGCAACTTAAAGTGTGGCGTGCAACAGGGTGGATTTGATTTAAATCATAATTTTTAAAGAGCAGCTGTTGTCTCTGTCCCACAGCGGCTCCTCCTCTGACCCGCTGGTGATGTGGCAGTGACACAAGATGAGGGATGTGGTGGCAGCAGGTGAGTGGATGCCTGCTAACAGGCGCTGCCATGATGGATCTAACATGACAGGTGCTCTTTAACCACTTGCCTACCAGGCACTTATACCCCCTTTGTGCCCAGACCAATTTTCAGCTGTCAGTGCTGAATGACTTCATACTTTGAATGACAATTGTGTGGTCATGCAACACTGTACCCATATTAAATTTTTATCATTTTTTTTCACACAAATAGAGCTTTCTTTTGGTGGTATTTAACACTGGGTGTTTTATTTTCTACTAAACAAATGAAAAAGTTTGAAGAAAAATAAAGGTTTTTTTTTTTTTTCTTTTTATTGTAAAATTTTGCAAATCGGTAATTTTTCTCCTTCACTGATGTGCATTGATGAGGCTACACTGATAGGAGGCACTGATGAAGTGTCACTGACTGGCAGCACTGCTGGGCACAGATTGGCATTTAACGGCGGCATTGATAATCTGTTCCCTGATTATCAGTGTAGACGTCTCCTTTCACACTTGCCGGTTATCTGCAGTACTTTCCTTGCACTATGACAGTGTGAGGAGAGTACTGCCTATAACTGCCAAGTGTCTTTACATGGTGATCAGCTGTAATTGGACACAGCTGATCACGTGGTAAGAGGCTGCTGAGATTGTCCCTTTACCGTGTCATAGCTGAAGAAGCTCAAGTGGTTAAGCTTATCGAGAGAGCATAGAGTGTGCTTCGCAGCGGCTGTGCTTCTGGGAGGATGTGATCTGATGCCCTCCCAGAACCAGATGACCGCACTGTAGCAGCCATTTGGCTATAGCACGGTCAGCAAGTGGTGAATTGATACAAACTTGGTGTCCATTGGCTTGATTCTTACTGTAAACGTTTTCACATAAGACAGTGGTCTCAGAGCTGAGAAGACGATGGTGCAAACAGCATCAGAGAGAATTAGGAGACTTGTTGGGACTAGTAGTCAACAGCATGTTGGGCTACACTGGCTGGCTTCACAATCCTATGTGATTATTTCTGCTTAGTAGGAGAAATAATATTCACCACCCATGACTGAGACATTTCTGCTCCTCTGTATCTTCAGTCTTCTGGAGTAGTGGCCCTTATATCTGGTGGCATGGCGCTGCAATAGCTATATAAGGAACATCCTCTTTCACCTCCCAAGCTGTTTGAATATACTCAGTCCCTAGCACTTAAATATTGAAATAGGTTACTTGACAGGTGCTGCTTAAAGTATATTTAAAGCCAAAACCCTTTTCCCCCACTGTGGATAAGAGTAGGGAGGGTTAAAACCACTTTTTTTTTTTTTTTTTTGTTTTTTTCATCTTTGTCTCATTAGGACGATTTAACTTCACTTTCTGTCCTATGGATTCAACAGGTAGTAAGAGGATATCTTTTCAGTGTGAGGGAAATTCCCTCTTACCGTTGTCAACAGGGACAAGTGTCTCATTGGAGGATTTTCCCTCTCCTCTTGTTATAGCGGCAGCTCAAAGTTTTAGATGTACCTTCATTTGCATTACTGATGACATTGGTAATTGGGACAATAAAGCCTTCCATAGACGGTTTGAATGTCGGCAGGTTCCGCAGGAACCAGCTAAGATTCGAACCATGTATAGGCAGGCTGAATGTATCTAAGTTGATCCATCGATCAATTTGGGTGCAACCAGCCTGTTGGATTTTACCTGTGAATATTGCTAGTGGCTATTATAGCCAGTAGCAGTAATCACTGTGTTTTTTTAGCGGCTGATGACTGACCACATCCCACTCCTGGCAGAGAACACAATGACTCCATGGGAGGGATTCCCTAATCAACACTGACCAGTGGTTGGAGGAAAGAAAATCACGCCAGGCATGATGGGCGGCTTAAGGCATGCCATAAACGGGCCGTTTATTGGCCGACAAACGAAAAATCGGTCGACCCCCGCCCCCCCCCCCGTTGCTGATGCTGCCACCCATGTCCACGAAAAACGGCCAGCATGACCGATAAAAATAAATGAGGAGATCCGCAAAAAACGGCCAACAGGCTGGCCCCACTAACAGCGTGATTATTGCCCAATTTTTCTTGCAGATGAAAATTTGGCCGATAAATGACCGGTTTCTGGCCTGCATAGGAGTGAATATCCCTAATTGGCACACCGATAACAATGGAAACCTGACAGTGGTTCTCACCACCCCATCTAAATCTAAAGTCAAACCTAAGTTCAGTGGAACATAATTTTGTAACAATTTGGTCATGTGCGTATGATATGATAGCCTGTGGTGGACCAGAAAACCTCTGCTACCAAAGTTGATAGGAGAATTGTAAAGTTAGTTTACCATGTTCATCCCAGGCAGAGTCAGGATGTACTATAAGTGTTTGGCCACCATACATATGCAGATAGGGTGTCTTTTTACTAGGCAGAGTTTTTAGCAGGAAACCTTGCTAAAAGAAGTCATTGGGGCTCATTTTGCTAATGTAACTGTATCATGAGAAAATATGTGGACTGCTGCTGCTGACCTTTCCCAAAAATCATATTCTTTGTTTCACTGCTGAGGTTTTGTCTTCATTACTTGTATTTTTAACTTGGAACAAGTATTATTATTATTATACAGGATTTATAGAGTGCCAACAGTTTGTTCAGCACTTTACAATATAAAGGGAGACAATACAGCAACAATACAGTTCAATACAAGAGGGTTAGGAGGGCCCTGCTCCTTGGAGCTTAAGTATGGGGAAAAATATTTCCAACTTTCATATTCATTTTCTTGGCATGGCTTGTTAAAGCGGAATCAAAGTCCACAAATACTCACCTGCCCTTGCTGGTGCCAACATCCTTTCCAAATGCTGGTGCTTTGAGTGTCTTGATTGGTCAACGGGGAAGGAAGCAACTCTTACGCCTGTGCATGGGGTTTCATTCATTCCAGGTCTAAGGTGTGCAGAGAATGAATGTTGAGCTGCCCATGCACATCTCAGTGTACTTTCTACAGAAGCTTGCAAACAGGCAAGTAAGTTTGTTTTATTGCAATAAAGAGCCTGCTTACTCACTATTTTTTTTACTTTAGTTCTGCTTTAAGATTAGCAATGTCAGCCCATACAGTTATTTCATGACAACAGTACTTTAAAAGTAATATTAATTGCATTTTCTTTTTCTAATTAACAAACATGTCATACTTACCTGCTCTGTGCAAGGGTGTTGAACAGAGCAGTCTCGATCCTCTTCTTTGGTTCTCTGCCAGGTCTCCTTCCCTTCTGAGTGCCCCCATAGCAAGCTGCTTGCTCTGAGGCCGCTCGTGCGTGTTTGCTCTTGAGCTGTCTCCGTGTCCACGTTTCTTGCCTATGCATTTCTTGCGGCAAAAGATTTTGGGGTATCCTGGAAATTGATAGATGTATGACATGTCATTTGATACATATATTTCTTGACTGCAGAGTAGTGGGGTTGCACTACAGCAGACCACAACTGTCAGAGGGCAGCATACGTTGGGTTTTGTGCCAAAACAGACGTCTGCCTGAGACTGTCATGCATGAAGTCTACTTTATAAACCCAAATGTTCCTCAATGACCCCTTAGTACCATTTAGTTTATTTCTGATAATCCTTTAATATACTTATTGCCAATATTCTGTCATTGGATATAGTCTGCTTTGTAGGAAATTTTATCGTAATCTCTACAATTATCATTACGTGCAAGTATAATGGTAAGAAACCTGCAAAAACCTCTACATAAATTAAGTATTAAATTGAAGAATCTCAAAGGCACTACAATTTTGACAGATTAATAATGACTACATTTGTGTCATCTTTATAACAAAATGACTCATTTATTATTGATTGTGAGGTGTATGACACCCACATTCAAGCAACAGATGGGAAACAACAGATCGGTTTCCATGGCACTCAGAAAATATGACTGTATTACCATTAAAATGTATTATATTCACTGTTTTCCCCAGAATAATTGTCTATGAAATTTATAACTTATTAATTCTACAATGTATGTATAAATTGTGTTTATATGTATGTATGTATAAATTGTGTTTATATGTATGTATGTGTATATAAATATATTTGAATGAGTAAACATGTAAAAGAGATCAGAGTGATGTAAATCTTATGCATATACTGTATGTATATACAGCCAAAACATTTTTTTCTAATTTTGGATAGGCTGGGGATAGGTTAGAACCTCTGTAAAGTGTTTACCTTTTTCAGAAAAAAATAAAAGGTAAACTAACACTGTACACCCTCCCCATCCCCTGACCCCAGTCTCTGCTGTACTTGCCTCCATGGGTGCTGAGCTGTCAGTGCCCACTTAGTCAGTCCAGCAGTCTGATGATTTGAAATTCCCTGTTCTTCTCCCTCTTCTCTGTGCAGCACTTCTGGGATGGATCAGAGTGATTCTGATAGGTCCGTTCTGATTTGACCCAGAAGCTATGCACGGAGAAAATGGGGGGAATTCAAAACCATGGGCACTGACAGTTCAGCAGCCATGGAGCGAAGTACAGCGGGGACCGGTGGGGGTGAGGTGTATGGTGTTTACCCTAGTACATTTCTGAAGGAATATTCATACCAACGTTTGTACCAAGATTCTCATCACTACATTCAATGACTTGATGAATGTCGTTCAAAAGTATGTTAAAACACATTTGCTTCAACGCTATTTTTTGGAGTGAATGGATTTTCTTGAACAAAAACCACATTCACTCTTAGAAATTCAGGAAAAAGTTTTCATCCTGCTCCTTCTAATCTCATTACTCGATTTGACCCCAATAACGCTTAAAAAATCAAACATGCTTAAAACAAAAACTTTAGAAAAAAATTGTACTAGTGCATGGCCAGCGTTACCCTTACATCCTGTCCTGATGACAAAGTTTTACCGCACAGAAAGTGAAGGAGAATCTTAACCACTTGCTTACCAAACCTATTCTGACACTTCTCTCCTACATGTAAAAACATTTTTTTTTATTAGAAAATTACTTAGAACCCCTTTCTCCCCACATTATATATATATATATATATATATATATATATATATATATATATATATATATATATATATATATATATATATATTATTTTTTTTTTTTTTTTTAAGCAAATGCCCTAGAAAATAAAATTATGGATTTGGCAATTTTTTATTTAACAAAGTATTTGTTCAAACACAATTTTATTGGAAAAACATCCATTAATGAATTTTAGTGAACAGAAACACAATCTGGTATTATATTGTACGGTAAAATATAAAAGATGTTACCCCCCCCCCCCCCGAGTAAATGGGTACTATTTATGAAATGTTTTTTTTTTTTTTTTTTTTTTTTATCCATAGGCGACATTTTAAATGACTACCAGTTACCAGTTACGATTACTGTTTACATTTGCGTGCAGGACTGATGCACGCATTCGCCACTGCGTGTGAGCACTTTAAATTTTTTTTACACTGTTTTTTTTTTTTTTTAAATAAATTGTGATTACTTTTTTTGCTGTCACAAGGAATGTGAACATCCCTTGCGACAGCAATGCCAGTGACAGGTACTCTTTATGGAGAGAGCGGGAGTCTAGTAGAAATTTTGTGGGCTTTCTGTGAGCCCTCCACTCCACAAAAAGGAGCCAAGGATACGAGGCACTATAATAAGGTAACCAGCACAAGCTCTGATTAGTTATCAATGCAAAATAACTTTTTTGTTACTATGTGAGAGATGATCAGAAAGTTTTATGTTCCAAGTAGGAAATGGTTCTGCGCTTTGCTATACAATATTAAATATACTCACTTGTATACTTTTGTATATGAATTATGTTTTAGAATGTACAGCAAACTCCAAAATGGAAATGGCTCCGGTATGTCACTATACAGCCTGTGGACTCAATCCTTTAGCTGAGATTTGGCAAACTCTCTATGAAACCCATTTCTATATGCAGCTCATTAGGGAGTGCATAGATAGGTTTATATATGCAAAACACCTTCTGTATATGTTCTTTATTTAACAAAGACAATGCTTGTGTTTTTTGCAAATGTTGTAAGAAGTAACACCATGCATTTCCTGTGTTAGGTAACTCACATTGAACCATGGGAGAAGGGCAGTCGAAAAACTGCTGGGCAGACAGGGATGTGCGGAGGGGTAAGTACAAGTACGTGCCTCCTCATTTTGATTTAATTGCCTCCAAGATGAAGTAAATAACAGAAGTCTCCTGTGGTGTGAAATAAATATTTTGATTGCTGCTGGGTGGAGGGGGGTTTGTGTGCTTTTTGTTTTTTTCCCTGTATTATGTAAAGTGTACATATCTCAAGCAAACACTTTAGAGATCATGCAAAAGGTGTTATTATATTTAAAAAAAGAAAAATTAGTTTTTATTTATACATGGGCTGACCATTATTATATACAGAGGTGGGAGAGGGGAATTTCTGCTTTACCCCACAGATCTAATAAATTCCTTTTTTAAGGCCTTATTCATACTTAAAAAGTAACTAAACCCACAACAGTAAAATCAGTCTGTATATGCAAAAAAGCATACTTGTTATACTCACTGTGAAACCTAAGGAGTTAACCCTCTGCATTGTGTAAAAAGGCTGTTTGGATCCTTTCTTCTCTGTTCCTCCCCTTTTTCCCCTCTTATCTCTAGACTAAACCATAGGCATGCACATGCTCAGTTTGCTGCGTATTGCTAGAGAGGTTTTTTTTTTTTTGGGAGAGTGCATGTGATTAGCACAGGGCCAATCAGCACTGTCCAGACAGAGGTCAGGGGATTTCCATCCTCCTAGAGCAGAAATAAAACTCCTCCTACAAACTTTAGCTAGTGATGGGCTGGACATAGAAGTCACAAGACTGTTCTGACTTCTGATGAGAAAAGGTATTTAGTAGTTTATTTTTAAAAATTGGATGAAGCGCTCAGCCTTGAAGGTGCTACACTAATTAACCTAATAAAAATACATAATATAAAATATATAACAAATAAGGATAAAGTGACTAGTGCATAAATCCAATACAAATAAGCAGAAAAACAGCCAGTCTGCCACCAAGAGGCTAAAATTGGTACAAAATGTGCACACACTCCGTGTATACAAAGTGACAAGTGCTCACAAACCACATATATATGTTTAATACAACCTAAAATATATTTTAAATGTGCACACAGTGAACAATCACTAAATAAAGTGGCAAGTGTTGAAAATCAATCAATATAAAAATACAATATATAATAAAGTGCAAAATGCATGCTAACACTCTCCTGTGATATGAATAAATATATATAAAAAAGTGTTCCTTCTTCCTCCACTTCAAATCTGTGCTCTAATCAAAGTGTCACTCTAGTGCTTAAATCCTCCAGTGGCTAGAGTGCCTCCTCACCTCCTTCACTCGACCCCTAGGGGCCACAAATCATATAGTGATGTTCCACACCGATTGGACTCTCAGTCATCAAGATAAACCTTTGTCCCAATGGCTCCACAACAACTCCTCTACCACATCGATATCCACTCAACCATTTAATTAGGAATGGGAAGACTCGCCAATGAAATTTCAGAGCCATGGAAGGATAAACAAAAAGAAAAAACTTCCATAGTGCAATATGCTTGTTTATTAGATGTAAAAGCCAAATAAACCACTCGCATGCTCCAAGTACAAATCAGGCGATTTCCCATATGTTATGGGTGTACTGAGGGAATTAAAATGGCGAAAAAAACGGAAGTCCGTCACCGGAAATACGTCACCGAGCTCCACCCGGAAATGACGTCAATGCGCTCCACGCGTTACACCACTGCCACGTGGCTTCTTCAGAATCACGATCTGGTGACGGATCTTCTGTTTTTTTTGCCATTTTAATTCCCTCAGTACACCCATAACATATGGGAAATCGCCTGATTTGTACTTGGAGCATGCGAGTGGTTTATTTGGCTTTTACATCTAATAAACAAGCATATTGCACTATGGAAGTTTTTCTTTTTGTTTATCCTTCCATGGCTCTGAAATTTCATTGGGGAGTCTTCCCATTCCTAATTAAATGGTTTAGTGGATATCGATGTGGTAGAGGAGTTGTTGTGGAGCCATTGGGACAAAGGTTTATCTTGATGATTGAGAGTCCAATCTGTGTGGAACATCACTATATGATTTGTGGCCCCTAGGGGTCGAGTGAAGGAGGTGAGGAGGCACTCTAGCCACTGGAGGATTTAAGCACTAGAGTGACACTGATAAGAGCACAGATTTGAAGTGGAGGAAGAAGGAACACTTTTTTATATATATTTATTCATATCACAGGAGAGTGTTAGCATGCATTTTGCACTTTATTATATATTGTATTTTTATATTGATTGATTTTCAACACTTGTCACTTTATTTAGTGATCACTGTGTGCACATTTAAAATATATTTTAGGTTGTATTAAACATATATATGTGGTTTGTGAGCACTTGTCACTTTGCATACACGAGCGTGTGCACATTTTGTACCAATTTTAGCCTCTTGGTGGCACACTGGCTGTTTTTCTGCTTGTTTGCACATTTGTGTTGGATTTATGCACTAGTCACTTTATCCTTATTTGTTATATATTTTATATTATGTATTTTTATTAGGTTAATTAGTGTAGCACCTTCAAGGCTGAGCGCTTCATCCATTTTTTTATGTGGTTTTTCGGATCCCAAGGTATAGGATTTAGATGATAGCAGCTTGCTCTGTTTAAGTAACTCTATGGAGCGCAGGAGGATATTTATATAATATTTAGCAGTTTATATTTACTAAAATAATTTCACTTCCATGTCCTGTTTACTGTTTGAGAACGGATATAGTGGATGCAGGGTCTGGGGTTTAGTAACACTTTAATGGTTTGAAATCGCTGACAGAATCAACGCAGTTCTGGCCACCATTCCAAATCGCAGTAAGACAGCATTTAGGTGCTATAATTCTTGATGACACCCCAAATGCGGTGCAGTTTTTTTTTTTTTTTTTTTTTTTTTTTTCGCTGTGATGAAAAATGCGCCTTTAAAAATCATGGGTACTTCAGAGTAGGAACTTGTTGAGTGACAAAAGCGCGTAGAGCAGCCCATTGAAGTGAATGGGCTGCCCTATGCACAACACACGGAAACACTTAAGTCACAAGCAGGAACACTCATTACCACTAAACAAGATCACAACGGAACCTTAATACTTTCCTTATTTAAAGCCAACTTTCCCGGTATGAAACTTTTGCTTATCCTATAGATCTCCCACCTGGTGGGAAAAAAAGTATATATAAAGACAATATAAAATAGAAGGCCAAGTGTTTCCCTCCCTCCCCCTTCTTTTTTTTTTTTTTTTTTTTTTTTTTTTTTTTTCACCTCAATAATAAATTATGGGGGGGGGGTTGGATGAGTAGGTTAGGGGCTCCTACAAGATCAGTCTTCAGGCTGGTCACAGATGTCCTTTACATGCAAGGCCATCTTCTGATCATATATTGGTGGCAGGAGGTCCTCAGTGTTGCAGACTGTGGCAATGATGTCCATGCTGCTTAATGCATCATTACACTGGGCAGGTATTCAACTCAGAGGGATGAGGGCATCTTGCAAGGGACAGCTCCGGGAAGGAGGTGAGTATTGCAACCAGAGCTGCTTTTTATTACAGGAACAGTCTGGGACTCCTTTTGAGAGACTACTTAAAACCATAAAAACTGGGCAGGTGCTGTGAAGAGCATCTTCTATAGCACAGGTAATTAATTAAAATTCACGGAGGTCCAATCAATAACCTTTTCTTCCAGCAGAGGTCTGTATTGCATTTTTGCGCAGTGGCTCAGATCCTTCCCATCACATCTTCCCTCCGACCCACAGAGGAGCGGACTGCACTTTAGCAGACATGCAGGGGTGGCACCCCCATACATCAGCAGCGGTAGTGCATTTTCGCATTTGGCATACCACATGTTGCCACATCACAATGTGGCTTGGTGCAGCGCAATGTTAAAAAAAAAAAAAAAGGGTCAGGGAGGTCTTTTGCCACAGTTCCCGAATCATCACATCATGATTCCCCCCCCCTTCACAGCAGTGTCCTCCCCTCCCCCTTCACATCACTCCTCTCCACTCCTTTCGGTATTGTTCTCACACTCCCTTGATATAAAACCCCTACATTACAGTTCCCAGGCCCCCATAATACTGTACTCTGCAACATTGCAGGTCTCAGGCTTGCACCCACAAATTACAGTGTGCAGCCCCCTTCTCAAAACTGTCTTCAGATCGGTGTCCTCAGCCCCTCTTTCACATTGCTTTAGGTTAAATATGAAAGATCCTATACAATCCCTGAAGCTAGCTGGTTAATGTGCCAAATCAAATTCTTTTCAGAATCGTGTTTTGTCTATCCATGTAAAGTAAACTGCAGGGATGAACAAAAATGGTTACATTCTCAGTATTTATTGTCCAGTTAAATGAAAATATAGACTTTATGGTGCTCTGTTGCCCTTTAAGGCCTCACTAAGAATGAGGATTTTAAATATTCTTGTTCACAGAATTTGAAGTGTTGTTGCCTTCTATGCATTTTATACACATTGACTTTCAGTATTTCTTTGGTAACTAGTCAACTGTAGGACTCATTCGAAAATGCATTCCTTCCCTGTGAAGGATCAGCCTGTGCACTGCAGAAACTGCAGCTGCTATTTCATGTCAATGATCAATGTCATGCTTCATTTATCTATTAATGTGTAAGGACCCTCAAGCATCTAGACTCCTAAAAGAAGACCGTGTTTCCCATAGTAAAAAGTTGGACCCTTTGCATAAATCATGCAAGCAGTAGGAAAGTTATTTTAGAGGCACTAGCTTTTATTTACTTGACAATAACATTGGAATTTTCTCATGTTGGGGAATTTTGAAGGGAAGAACATTTGTATGCTTTTTATTGATAAGTGGTTATTCTTTTTACCCTCATAGGTCCGTGGGGTTGGGACTGGAGGTATTGTATCAACTGCCTTCTGTCTGCTGTATAAGCTGTTCACATTGAAGTTGACAAGAAAACAAGTAATGGGTCTCATCACACATACAGACTCCCCATACATCAGAGCACTTGGTTTCATGTATATAAGGTAAGTAGTTTCCATACTTGCCTAGCTATCAATGGCTCCTTTCCATTAGGAAGATTTTTCTTTACTTCTCACCCCGTAGACACAACAAGAAGTGGTAGGAAATCTCTCCATAATGAACAAGGATCCCTGCTTACCACCACAACAGTGTCCTAATTCATAGATGTTCTTTATCTTCCTGTTCTGGTAACAACTCAGATTTTCAGTCACTGTGACAGTGGTCACCAGTGCAAATGGAGAGTGTGAATTTACCTAGTGAGAACACTGCAATAACAATTTGGTATAAAGTGAGACAAACGGAAGACACATTTTGTTAAGTTCAGAAATTTGATTTGCTGAGAGTCAGTTTGTTTTCAGCCATCATGTTTCGGAGTTTCAAAGGGTCCCCCTTCATTATAGCTACCTAGTAGATAATAACTACTGGATGCATTGAGATATTCTTAATATAGTAGTCTAATATTCTCATTAGAGTGATAATTATATAGATCACATTCGACAAATTAAATGTTAAATACTTGTTCTATTTCATGTTTATTTGCTTAATATGTGCTCTATATCCATTTTTTATTAGCTGTATTTTTAGGCCTTTACTAGTATAGTAGTACAATCTCAATAGAGGAGTGATTACAATTTATACAAAGATCATCTCTTAAAACATCTATTATAGTTATTGCCTTCTGGGTTGATATCTATACTTATGTATGTGTTATTTTTTTGTAGCCCTGATGTAGGGTGACCTTTCGCGCTCCTGACATGTGCTGGTTGTGACTAAATGTGACTTTTTTTTTTTTTTTTTTTAAATAAAATAATTTTCTGGCATTTTCCTTTAAAAAACATCAGTCTACACAGGACGAATGCCATACTACGTTCATCACTTCTTGGAGAGCTGCCTGAAAATCTGTCCAGTGCCAAACACCTCCTGAGCAAGGCATTCTATCCCCACAGCATTCTATCCTTGTCTAAAAAAAAAAAAAAAAAATGCTTCACTTTTTTCTGTTGACAACTTCTGTGAACGCTATATAGCCTAGGGTGCTGAGATGACCTTAAGACACACCTGTGTTTTTTAGGTGCGGTTAGTTAAGTCCTGCTTGCTACATCTTTGATGTGCTGTCATGAATGTAAATTGCGCTTAAAACATACTGCACAAATGTGAACTGAACCTAAGGACCATATCCTTCCCCTGGATTAATAATAATGGTGTGAACCTCCTGCGCTCACAAGTGTTCAACTCTATACAAAGAGAAGAGAAGCAGCTAACATTAAATCATATACCAATGATTACCATACACATATATGATAAAAAAATGTAGCGCTACTCACATAATAAATAAGTGCATATAAATATATATACCAAGTGTATCAATTAGTGAAAAAATGTCAAATCAACTGTTTAACCAAGTGATCTCATGCAAGAATCCAAACAAATTATATGTGAACACAAAAATACACTCAAACTGTGATGGTGATGATGATTGAAAACAATTAGTGCTGATTGATTACAACCTTCAAAATTAATTATAATAACCTAAGACGTGAAAAGCATATATGTCTTTCTGTACAAATCCATTCAGTGTAAATAATATATATAAAATCACACGTGCATATAGTGTAGTGAAACCACAATATAAAGACAACTTAATCAGTGCTCTTAAAGTCCAGTATATGCTGATGGTAACATTTAGATGACACACACACACTCGTGCTGGTATTTGTGTGCAAGTGGATATGACAATCCGACCACCATCTGGATAAGCCTCTCACCTTATCACTTTGACCCTTGCGGGTCAAAACGCTTTAATGGATCCTTCTCCCGGATCCTCCAAGCCTGGTTTCACTCCAAATGGTCGCTCCTTGTCGCACTCAAATACCTCAGGGGTCAGCACTCCACTAATGGCTCCTCTCCAGGTAAGATCAAGTGTAGCACCAATCTCTCATGAGCCATAAAATAGATCCTCCCATAGTGTAGTAAGTTTATTTGTAAAGTAGGGACAACAACAAAGATCATCAACTCGCATAGCAGCAGTATCCAGTTCAAGCCCCATGGTTTCGGATGAGGGAACGAATGTATGGGTGTACAACAGGGTGTACAGGTGTACCAAGATGGCCGCTACGCCGGAAGTGTGTCACTACGTCAGGCCGACGCGTTGCATGACAATACCATGTGACTTCCTCAGAGCCCTGAGGAAGTCACATGGTATTTGTGACGCAACGCGTCGGCCTGACGTAGTGACACACTTCTGGTGTAGCGGCCATCTTGGTACACCTGTACACCCTGTTGTACACCCATACATTCGTTCCCTCATCCGAAAGCATGGGGTTTGAACTGGATACTGCTGCTATGTGAGTTGATTATCTTTGTTGTTGTCCCTACTTTACAAATAAACTTACTACCCTATGGGAGGATCTATTTTATGTCTCATATGAGAGATTGGTGCTACACTTGATCTTACCTGGAGAGGAGCCATTAGTGGAGTGCCTTCCCCTGGATTGCTATTCACAATTTTTTAAATACAAGAGTGTGCTTTTAATTTATTACGTATAGAGACTTCCCCCAGCAGAGGGCAAGTACAGCTTCAAAAGAGGTCTGCTAGTCCTTTTTTTTTTTTTTTTTTTTTTTTTTTTAACCACTTAAGCTCTGGAAGGTTTTACCCTCTTCATGGTCAGGGCTTTTTTTCGCTATTCACTGCAGTTTCGCAGTCATGCAAATAAAATGTGTGTCATTTTTTTTACACAAATGGAGCTTTCTTTTCGTGGTGGTTTTTTTTTTTTTTTTTTTTTTTTTTTTATTATAAAAAAAAAAAAAAAGACTGAAAATTTTTTGGGGAAAAAAAATCTTTTCTAAATTCTGTTATAAAACATACCAATTAAAAAAAAAATCACATCTCTTCATAAATTTAGGCCAAACTATTCTGTTTACATATCTGGTTTAAAAAAAAATTCCAATAAGTGTATATTAATTGGCATGCGTGAAAGTTATAGCATCTACAAACTATGGTGTGTGTGTATATATACTGGAATTTAAGCAGCTATGATGCTATACTGGTAATAGCGGTGATTCGCAACTTATATAGTGTGGTGATCCGACGCTGGCTGAGAGGGACACAAACTAGCTGATATCAAGATTGACACTAATACAGTGATCAGTGCTAATGCTGTACACAGTCACTGTACTGTTGACACTGGCTAGGAAGGGGTTAACATCTAGGGGGCAATCAAAGGGATAACAATGTGCCTAACAATGTGTAATGTGTGTATTATGTACTGTTTTTACTAATAGATGTGGCTGTTCAGTATACAGAGCCCTGTGTTAGTAAACACAGGGCTCCTTGCTGTGATTTGTAGGTGCTGCTGACCAACTTCTGCTGTACCAAATGACAGCACAGATCGCGCGGGGGGGCACGGCCCTATACCTGGAAATGCTGGACCATGTACAGTGGGGATCGAAAATTTGGGCACCCCAGCTAAAAATTTGTATTAATGTGCATAAAAAAGCCAAGGAAAGATGGAAAAATCTCCAAAAGGCATCAAATTACAGATTAGACATTCTTATAATATGTCAACAAAAGTTAGATTTTATTTCCATCATTTACACTTTCAAAATAACAGAAAACAAAAAAATGGCGTCTGCAAAAGTTTGGGCACCCTGCAGAATTTATAGCATGCACTGCCACCTTTGCAAAGCTGAGACCTGCCAGTGTCATGGATTGTTCTCAATCATCGTCTGGGAAGACCAGGTTATGTCAATCTCAAAGGTTTTAAATGCCCAGACTCATCTGACCTTGCCCCAACAATCAGCACCATGGGTTCTTCTAAGCAGTTGTCTAGAAAACTGAAACTGAAAAAAGTTGACGCTAACAAAGCTGGAGAAGGCTATAAGAAGATAGCAAAGCGTTTTCAGATGTCAATATCCTCTGTTTGGAATGTAATTAAGAAATGGCAGTCATCAGGAACAGTGGAAGTTAAAGCAAGATCTGGAAGACCAAGAAAAATATCAGACAGAACAGCTCGCAGGATTGTGAGAAAAACAATTCAAAACCCACGTTTGACTGCACGATCCCTCCAGAAAGATCTGGCAGACACTGGAGTTGTGGTACACTATTCCACTATAAAGAGATACTTGTACAAATATGGTCTTCATGGAAGAGTCATCAGAAGAAAACCTCTTCTACGTCCTCACCACAAAAATCATGGTTTGAACTTTGCAAATGAACATATAGACAAGCCTGATGCACTTTGGAAACAAGTTCTGTGGACCGATGAGGTTAAAATTGAACATTTTGGCCGGAATGAGCAAAGGTACGTTTGGAGAAGAAGGGGCACAGAATTTAATGAAAAGAACCTCTGTCCAACTGTTAAGCATGGGGTTGGATCAATCATGCTTTGGGGTTGTGTTGCAGCCAGTGGCACAGGGAACATCTCACGAGTAGAAGGAAAAATGGATTCAATAAAATTTCAGCAAATTTTGGATGGTAACTTGATGCCATCTGTGAAAAAGCTGAAGTTAAAGAGAGGATGGCTTCTACAAATGGATAATGATCCTAAACACACCTCGAAATCCACGGGGGATTACATCAAGAGGCGTAAACTGAAGGTTTTGCCATGGCCTTCACAATCTCCTGACCTCGACATAATTGAAAATCTATGGATAGACCTTAAAAGAGCAGTGCGTGACAGACAGCCCAGAAATCTCAAAGAACTGGAAGACTTTTGTAAGGAAGAATGGGCAAAGATACCTCAAACAAGAATTGAAAGACTCTTGGCTGGCTACAAAAAGCGTTTACAAGCTGTGATACTTGCCAAAGGGGGCAGTACAAGATAATAACTCTGCAGGGTGCCCAAACTTTTGCAGATGCCATTTTTTTTGTTTTCTGTTATTTTGAAAGTGTAAATGATGGAAATAAAATCTAACTTTTGTTGACATATTATAAGAATGTCTAATCTGTAATTTGATGCCTTTTGGAGATTTTTCCATCTTTCCTTGGCTTCTTTATGCACATTAATACAAATTTTTAGCTGGGGTGCCCAAACTGTCGATCCCCACTGTACATGTATGTGATCCATTGCAGCCGTGCAGTCCGGAAGCAGATAAAGTGCCTTAAGGGTTACCTCGCAGCATAGAAATACAGGAGCTGCTATAGGTGATTGGTTTGAAGATGCAAGCTATGGGGCTGTCATCCTTATCCTTGCTTCACTCCTAAAGCTGATATCCAGGGAAACCCCTAAATATTCAGTGGAAATGCATAAGAAGTTGTTTTTCAGTACAAAAGGATTTGTATTTCTGTCAATCCACTTCTGGGATTTACACATCCCTGTCTGAAGTTAAATGACACTACAGTATCTTCCCTTACGTGGTTTTTTTTTTTTTTTTTTTTTTCTTCTCGTCCACTACAGATACACACAGCCTCCTACGGATTTATGGGATTGGTATGAAGATTTTCTTGATGATGAAGAGGTATGTCAGCAAGGGTAATTCAATTTTCATTGTTCTGTTTAATAGTATCCCGTATGTACCTTTCTACAATTTACACTCTGTGATAAGATAGTGTTTTATTTTTTTTGTGGACAGAAATCATGAATCTAATAAATCCTACAACTATAAAACCTAATACCAGCTATAAAGCAAATTATCGCATCATGGTTGAATTGTCATCTTACACAGCAAATTATCGCATCGTGGTTGACCAGCCTTCTTTTTAAACCAGTTATACTAGTTTGAGAGTTTTTTTTGTTAAGCATAATGTTGCTGTGCCCAAGCTTTACCAGTGTTCTTCTGTTAAGGTGAACCTTCTTCCGAGCATTGATTTAACCTTTTTTGCGAGCATTTCCTGTAGACCAGGAGTCTCCAAACTTTTGAAACAAATGGCCAGTTTACTGTCCTTCAGTCTTTAGGGGGGCCAGACTGTGGCCAGTGGGAATAGAAAATGCCATGGGCTTGGTTTACTTAATGGAGGTAAAAAAATTTACACAATTGGTGTCAGTGGGAGAGAATAGTGCCCCAATCATTGGTGTCAGTGGGAGGAATGGTGCCCCAATCATTGGTGTCAGTGGGAGGAATGGTGCCCCAATCATTGGTGTCAGTGGGAGGAATGGTGCCCCAATCATTGGTGTCAGTGGGAGGAATGGTGCCCCAATCATTGGTGTCAGTGAGAGGAATGGTGCCCCAATCATTGGTGTCAGTGGGAGAAATAGTGCCCCATTGTTGGTGTCAGAGGGAGGAATAGTGCCCAATCATTGGTGCCAGTGGGAAGAATAGTGTTCCATCGTTGGTGTCAGTGGAAGGAGTAGTACCCCATAATTGTCAGTGGAAGGAGTAGTACCCCATAATTGTCGGAAGGAATAGTACCCCATGATTGTCAGTGGACGGAATAGTACCCCATAATTTAATCTCAGCGGACGGAATAGTACCCCGTAATTTAATGTCAGTGGAAGGAATAGTACCTCGTAATTGTCAGTGGAAGGAATAGTAGTAATTGTCAGTGGAAGGAATAGTGCCCATAACTTAATGTCAGTGGAAGGAATAGTGCCCCATAATTTAATGTCAGTGGGAGGAATAGTGCCCCATAACTTAATGTCAGTGGAAGGAATAGTGCCCCATAACTTAATGTCAGTGGAAGGAATAGTGCCCCATAATTAATGTCAGTGGAAGGAATAGTGCCCCATAATTTAATGTCAGTGGGAGGAATAGTGCCCCATAATTTAATGTCAGTGGGAAGGAATAGTGCCCCATAATTTAATGTCAGTGGGAGGAATAGTGCCCCATAATTTAATGTCAGTGGGAGGAATAGTGCCCTGTCTTTGGTGTCAGTGGAAGGGATAGTGCCTCGTATCAGTGGAGTGCCCCAAGGGCCAGATAAAAGTAAGCAAAGCATATGCCATTGGTTTGGTTTACTAAATGAGGGTAAAAAATGTACATAATTGTAGAAATAATTGGAGAAATTGTTCCCCATCATTTGTGTCTGTGGGTGTAATGGTGACCCATCGTTGTGTGTCTGTGGGTGTAATGGTGACCCATTGTTGGTGTCTGTGGGTGTAATGGTGACCCATTGTTGGTGTCTGTGGGTGTAATGGTGACCCATTGTTGGTGTCTGTGGGGGGATAGTGCCCCGTATCAGTGGAGTGCCCCAAGGGCCAGATAAAAGCAAGCCTAGGGGCACATACGGCCCGCATGTTTGGGGTCCCCTGCTTTAGACCATATTTCCAATTTACGCACTCCTTACATGAAATTACATAAGAGGCCCATGCATCACCAATTCTTAATAAAAAAAAAAATCTGATAATCTAAAATACATTTCTGTGAGTGAAAGGGTCTGTTTTATAGTCACATTGGGGAAAAAAAGCTACTTGTATAACAGGCTAAATGTGGGCCCTGGTGTCCTGCTGTCACATGGAAGGTACACGCTGCTTTATGCTGCTCCACAGCTGATGGAAAGACTAAAGGTGACATTTATGCCCGTGCTTTAACAGTAAATGTGGATCCTGTATGTCACTATACACTGTTGACACTATTTTTGCTCATAAATGTTAACTATGACATTTATGTTATAGTTAACATTTACCGACTGTATTCCAGATAGTAAAGATGTCCATGCCCAAAGTACAATTTATATAAAATTTGTTCTTAAGCTAATCTGCTCTTTTCTCCTCTAGATCTTTGTGCTGCATCAATTGTATTGGGCGAAATTATTCTGAACACATGCGTGTGTGTGAGTGCAAGAAATTTTACCTTAAGGTTCGCCTTTAAATGTGTGCAGGGCTCACAATAGATATTGTCCCGCCCACTGGCTCCTTAGTGTGCTTGTTTTTGTTTTAAAATCTTAAACCATTCTTGATATCAGTTGACACAGGAAGTGGGTGTGCGAGACTTAATAATGCATGTTTAAAGGATAAGTTTACCTTTTACAAAAAATACAAATAAAAAAAAAGACCTGTTTGTTTATTTTTTAAATAAGGAGTCTGTAAAGCATTGCACTTACAATTAGCAGATCACAGGTGCAATGCAAGGCTCCTGCAATCTGTAAGTTTATTTGTTTGCTAGTACCTCTTATGTACAGGCAGTTACACAATGACAGGAACCATCAATGAAATACCTACAGCGCTCACCAGCTCTCTGGTAGTTCTTTGAAAACTACAAGCCTTTAGGCACAAAGGCAGTCGGGCGGAAAAAAATTGATAGTGGGTACGGGGAGAGGATGTCTGGCTCGCTATCACTAGAGACAGCGGTTCGAGGAGAGGCTGCAGCAGTGGGAACATGTTACATGTTCTACCCTAAAAACATGTGGAACATGTAGCATGTTCCCAAAGGTGAACTTATCCTTTTAAACACTGTTACTTGTGATAAACTATATAATTGATCATGGTAGAGCAGCTAATGCGAGGTACACACTGTCAGGATTTTATTCGTTCAATCCAGTGGGCTTCATTTCACAATGTAGATTAAATTTTGTTGGGTTATCAGTTTGGATGAAAATGGTAATGAGCAGTATTCTTTTGTAAGGCAATATTTATTTGTGATTAACGAATTGATTTGTGATATTCCTTTTGCCTACACAAGAATGTCCCTATCTGGTGTTGTGCATTGTAAAGGCATCCTGCAAAAGAGCACTGTTAAATCTACAGACATTATATAAAAGGAGCTCAATTTAAAGTAACATGGAACAAAAGATATGAATATTTTACATTAACAATTTTACAGTGAGCAGGTCAAGCTGTTAGGCTTTTTTTTTTTTTTTTTTTAGTGTGTAAAATTAATCACATCTACTTTGCTGAAAAAAGCCTGATTAGTTGAAGACTCTCCCTTTCCTTGCTTTGTACAACTCCCCACAGTTGGAGCAACAGTTTTTAAAGGATAGTAATTTTTGTGCGTTCTTTTAAAACAATCCAAATGTCATCTAAATCATGTCATAGCTGCACTCTGTATTAACAATTTAAAACTTAAAACAGAACTTAACTGCAGCTGAGCTCCACAAACCAAAAACAAATTCATTTCAATGTTCAATGCAAACTCCTCCATCTATCCATCCATATCTTAATGTTTTATTTTGCTGCAAAATCACTTTGAAAAAACACCCCCTAGAATTTCTGGCCGTGGCATTTACTCCCTGGAATTCATCTGCCCTTAGTTCAGCCTTGACAGCGGGAGGGTGTGCTTAGTAGAGAAAACACCTCCTGATGACTCTTGGGATGTATGACCACATTCGCCTAGGCCTGGGATCCTGGGAGTACCTGAAGAAATGTAAAGGAAAAAAAAGTGAAAGCAAGAAAGTATGTCATTTACTTATCTATTTACTAATGCTAGCAGCATAAGGATGAAAAATAGTCACTGTTGGCTGCGAGGGGGTAGTTCCACTTCTAATGTAAAAGACAACTAAAAACAGTAAATAAAATTGACCCTAAAATCTAACTTTTTTTTTTCTCTTTAAATATCTGTGAGGTATTACTGAAAATACTAGAAATCTGAAAAAATAATGTTGGCAACCAGTCCTTAGTCATAGGTCAGCTAGGACAGTGTGAACCTAGCTATATTTGGTATTGGTCTGCCTATAGTGCAAGTATAATAATAAATGGAAACAAGATCTTTAACCACTTCCTGTCCGGACACTTTTACCCCCTTCTTGTCCAGGGCAATTTTCAGCTTTCAGCGCTATCACACTTTGAATGACAATTGCGCGGTCATGCAACACTGTACCCATATGAATTTTTTACCATTCTTTTGAGACAGATAAAGCTTTATTTTGGTGGTATTTATTTACCGCTGGGATTTTTTATTTTTTTTTTGCTATATAAATGAAAGTCCAAAAATTTAGAAATAGTGTTTCTTATAAAATTTTGCAAATAAATAATATTTCATCATAAATCTTGGCCAAAATGTATTCCGTTATCTTTTTAGTAAAAAAAAAAAAATACGCCAAATTAGTTTATAACCAAAAATTATAATTTTTAAACATTTCATTTTATTTTTTTATATTTGTTTTTTGTTTTTTACATTCTGTCACCCTAGCAGTACAGTGTCACCATTGTGACACTGTACAGCTTGTGGGGGGTGATGATTTTTTTTTTTTTTTTTTTTTTTACAGTGATTGCTTTTACACCCGTATAGGATGTAAAAGCAATCCTTTCTCTTTCTCTCTGGCTGTATTCTTGCAGCCATTGAGAAATACTGTGTGAGCTGTGATTGGTCACAGCTTGTCACATGGTACAAGGCTGTTGTGAATAGCCTTGTACCATGTGACCTCTGTGATCATTCACAGATTTCACACGTAGTAAGCAATGATGTCACAAGTGACATCTTGCTTACTACTTTGCATGTGATCACTGATTGGCCAATCAGTGATCACATGATTGGGACCTCATACAGAGGTCCCGCCCGATGATCGGTGTTTCACTGTGTTCGGAGGACACAGCGGGAACCGGATCACGGTGCTGCGCGCACAACTAGAAATAGCGGATGCCGTTTATGAGCGGCAACCCGCCCCTGGAGTGCCACCGTTTAAAAACAGCAGGTGGACGGCAAGTGGTTAAAAATAATTGATACAATTCTTACCCCAAGTTAATCTTTCATACATACCTTTCAGAAAGATTTGTGACTATGCCATAGTTTCCCTTATATAGCCTTCTATAGGTCCTGGTTTCTCATGTGGCGGGGTTGGGATTCCCTGACAATGATCAGATAACATGATTGTCAAAGTTTTTATTTAAAAAAGACAAGTAGAAAAACATGGGACTTTAAGGTTCTATTACTCTCAGAAATGGACAGCTACAACATTAAAACTCCATATAATTTTATTGTATTGATTAGATTGCTGGTCAGTTTTTATTGCTGTATGTGCCCTCGTTAAAGAGATTCACCCTCTCTATTTATCCTGTTTACCATTATTTTCGAATGTGAAAGTCCCAAATTTTGGGTTGTCCCCAGGAAAGTAATAGAGGGTAAATCTTCCAATAGGGACACTAGTTCTGGTGACCTGGGGGTCCCCGAAAAATTCCATTAATTTGCAGGGGTTTCCTCACTTCTTTTTTGGCTATGAAACCGGAAGTGAAGGAGAATCTCCACAATAGGACACGTATGGCAAAATACATCCGACAGCTGTTATAACCCTCCCTTGCTCTATCCAAAATGGGGGAAAAAAGGGTTTTGCCTACAGTTCTACTTTAATAGTATGTTTGAAAAATGGTTTGGCTTGATAGAAAATGTAGTGCTTTGCAGTAAGGGTATTGTACAGTCTTTTAGTAAAGTAGCCTTTTTGAGTAACAAGACAGTGCTAATTAATGCTTCTGTATCTGTAAGCCTTTTATTATTATTATTATTATTATTATTATTATTATTATTATTATTATTATTGAGGTGGCATTGCTTTGACATCTCAAAAAGAAGGTAGTGTGTGTGACTTCATCATCTGGCCGCACTGTTTCACTTAAGATATGGCTTGTTTGTTTACTTATTAAAACGACACGTGATTCTGGGTAAAACCGACTTCAGCAAATATTAAAATCAATAACTTTGACTTCCTTTTTAAAAACAGATTTTTTTTTTTTTTTTTTATAATGGCTGTGTGGTTTTATTTAAATTTGTGTTTTTTGTTTTTGTTTTTTTGGTTTTTTTTGCAGGATTTAGATGTGAAGGCTGGTGGAGGTTGTGTCATGACCATAGGAGAGATGCTACGTTCCTTTTTGACAAAACTTGAATGGTTTTCCACCCTGTTCCCAAGGATCCCTGTTCCTGTGCAGAAACATATAGACCAGCAGATAAAAGCCAGACCAAGGAAGGTTAAGAAAGATAGTGCTGAAGTGACTGAGGAACCAGACCGTCATGTTGAAAGACGGCGATCAAGGTTTTTACTTTTTTCATTAATTTCACGTTTACAAGACTGAAAAGTGAAAGTGCCTCTCAGATTGAGAGATCCATTGAAAACTTTTTTTTTTGGGGTGAATTTTGATAAAATGCTATGCTCATTTATGTCCTTGCCTCTGTTAAGACCCTAACAAGATATTTATCTGCACTTTTGGCAAGGTTGTAAACCACAAAGTTCAGCAATTTAATCAAGCTTTTTGTTTCACCTAGCTTTGTGTCACGTGAAGTTCTTCATATATTCCTGAATAGAATCTGCTAGAGAATGCAAAGCATATGTCTTCTAGCGATATTTGCGAAATATTCTGTATCCTTTGACCAATTTAATGGTTTTTCCGTAGCAATATATGGAGAATTCACTTTCACTGGCTGATCCCTGCTGGGGTCATGAAAGTACTGTTAAAACCCAGCAGCAGTGTTAATTTTTAACGTCAAATTTTGATTTAGTTGTAGTCATATTCTTTTGACTAAAATGCCATTTAAGTTTTAGTCCTATTTTCGTCGTCTGAATTGTTTTCGTTGTATTTTAGTTGACTGAAATCTCTTCCTACATTTTAGTCAACTAAAATCTAGTGGGTTTAATTAAATTGTAATTCATTATTTTGGCATTTCTCTAGAATTGCCACGCTCTTAATATACTCCTGGAGTAAAAATATAATATGTTATTTATTGCGTTAAGTAGAGAAGGGCTGACTGTTCGAGTCGAACATTGACTGTTCGTGTGTTGTGTTGTGTTGTGTTCGCCAAACAATCACACAATAAGGGCGTTCGGCGTGAAGTTCGCTTGTCTGCCCAAACAATGGAAAACACGCTTTGTGACTGACCAAGCTGACCCAATTTTTCTGCACCGGTGTGACTGGTGCATATAATTAGAATTTTCAGAGCAGGGTCCAATCCTGCACTCGTTAAGAATAACTCTGGCAGGTGAACAGTTGGTGGTGTCTTCACACCGTAACCCTTCAAACACCCCACAATGCACTGCGCTCTCACAGTGCACAGCAGCCACCCCACACTATATAAGATAGAGGTAAGAATACTCTCCCCGTAGAAAAACACAAAACAAATAAAGAAAAATTTAAAAAAAAAATATATAAGCAAAAAATACATTAACCACTTGCCCTCCTGAGGATTTACCCCCTTTCCTGAGCAGGCCATTTTTTGCGTTACGGCGCTGCATTGCTTTAACTGACCATTACACATGCACTGCTGCACCCAAATGAAATTTTACTGATGGCACTGGGCAGGAAGGGGTTAACATGAGGGGCGATCAAAGGGTTAACTGTGTGCTGGGAATGTTTTTACTGGGGGATGGTGTGTGTGTGCTTTACTGTAATCACACTGCTCTGGATGATGGGTGTGCACAGCCATCCAGAGCAGTGTGCCCTAGCTGACAGGGAGGAAGACTTTTTTTTTTTTTTTTTTTTTTTTTTTTTTTTACAGCAGCTTGGTAGATGCTCCCTACTTATTCTTATGTGGTAGTTCAGTGTTCATTTTGACAGCAAATTTTTTATTTAGTTTTAGTCATAGTCTTTTGTCTAAAATGCCATTTTAGTTTTAGTCGTATTTTAGTCACCTGAATGGTTTTAGCTGTATTTTACTCAACTAAAATAGTGTTAATTTAGTCGACGAAAATATATTCCTAGATAAAATTAACACTACCTGGCAGGGGATAAAGCCATACCCCATTCCACCTATAATAGGGGAACTGTAGAAGGGAGTCCTAAGACTTTAAAGTGTAAGTCCAGCTAAAATTTTTTTTAAGTTTTAAATTTGAAGCCATGTTGAGCTTTTTTTTGCTGTCTGGGGCTTCATTAGAAACTTTTCCCTTCACTCACCACCCTGGTGACCACTGTTTCACCAGACCAAAAAAAAAAATCTAACAGCAACAGACACAAAAATGTGGGTTCTTTTGTTTTTGTAGAATAAGGGAACCTCTGTCAGTTTTGTACCTGTCTGCTTCCCTGTTGCAGATTTCTCCTTATTTTGTCTGGTGAAAACCGTTGTCACCTGAAACCTGACAAAGATTCTAATCTTTCCTCACTCTTAAAATGTGTATCTAAATTAGCTAGGAGTATTAATCCCTCCATTTTAAGCTCCACAGCCACTTTGCAAAGAAATACGAGACTAAGCATGCATCTTTGGGGCACATTTGTCCTAGTTAGTAGCAGTTCATAGTATGCAGAGTTAAAAGTTGTTTTAAAGGCTCAAGGTTTTTTACCTTCATGCATTCTATGCATGAAGGTAATAAACCTATGTGCAGCAAACACCCCCCCCCCCCCCCCCCCCCATCCTTACCTTAGCCTCTTCCAATCCAGTAATGTTCACAAAAGCCTTGGCTGTATGGTGACTCTCCCACCTCATTGGCTTAGACAGCAGTGGGAGGCCATTAGCTGCTTTCTCTGGGGGCACTGCTCGAGGGGGAGCAGGCAGAGTGCCGTCTGGGGACTGGAAAATTAGAGGATCGAGCAAGCTGTGTGCAAAACTACTGCACAGAGCAGGTAAGTATAACATGTTTATTTTAAAAACAATTACGTTTTTAGTATTACTTTAAAGTACATGTAAGCCCTATCTGAATGGCATTAGGTTTGAGAACCCACTGTGGATCAAAAACCAGTGTAATTAAAAAAAAAAAAAAAAAGTGGAACTTTGCTGTATCTGTGAATTTGTCAGCAAGGCCACTTGCAGTCTGTTCTGCATTGTTATCCTTGGACAGGAAGTGCCCAAACAAGTGCCTTCATGGCAGCATTAGTGGGTATTTTCATTAAAGGTGCCAATGTTAAACCTATTGAAAATTGACTTTTGAAACTAAAGCGAATGTAAGATTTTAGTGATTGGGTTTACATATACACTATATTGCCAAAACTATTGGGACGCCTGGCTTTACACGCACATGAACTTTATTGGCATTCCAGTCTTGGTCTTTAGGGTTCATACTGAGTTGGCCCGCACTTTGCAGCTATAACAGCTTTAACTCTTCTGGGAAGGCTGTCACCAAGGTTTAGGAGTGTCTCTATGGGAATGTTTGACCATTCTTCCAGAAGAGCATTTGTGAGGTTAGGCAGTGATGTCAGATGACAAGTCCTGGCTCACAGTCTCCGTTCTAATTCATCCGAAAGGTGTTCTGTCAGGTTGAGGTCAGGACTCTGCAGGTCAGTCAAGTTCCTCCACCCCAAACTCGCTCATCCATGACTTTTATGAACCTTGATTTGTGCACTGGTGCTCAGTCTTGTTGGAACAGGAAGGGGTCATCCCCAAACTGTTCCCACAAGGTAGGGAGCATGAAATTGTACCATAAAAAGTTCCTTTCTCCTGGCAACCGCCAAACCCAGACACATCCATCAGATTGCCAAACAGAGAAGTGTGATTCGTCACTCCAGAGAACATGTCTCCACTGCTCCAAAGTCCAGTGGCGGCGTGCTTTACACCACTGCATCCAAGCGCATTGCACTTGGGGATGTAATGCTTGGATGCATCTGCTCGTACCATGGAAACCCATTCCATGAAGCTCTTTACGCACTGTTGTGCTAATCTGAAGGCCGCACGAAGTTTGGAGGTCTAGCTATTGACTCTGCAGGCAGTTGGCGACTTCTGCGCACTGTGCGCTTCAGCATGCGCTGACCCCGCTCTGTCATTTTACGTGGCCTACTACTTAGTGGTATTATAACAAAGTGGAAGCAACTGGGAACAGCAACTCGGCCACAAACAGTTGACCGTGGAATATTTAGTAGCAAGGAATTTCACAGATGAACTTATTGCACAGAGGGCAACCTATCATGGTCCCACACTTTAATTCACTGAGCTCCTGAGAGTGACCCATTCTTTCACAAATGTTTGCAGAAGCAGTCTGTATGCCTAGGTGCTTGATTTTATACACCTGTGGCCATGGAGGTGATTGGAACACCTGAATCCAATGATTTGGAGGGATGTCCCAATACTTCTGGCAATATAGTGTATTTTGATTCTTGAAGCAATACAGTGTTATCTATCTTGGTGTTCATTTCTTAGCCATATGTTTTAACCCCCTGCCTTCCCTGAGTTAAGAGAAATTTGTGTCTGATTTCTTTTTTCAGGTCTCCAAAAAGATCTTTGAGCCCTCGTAGATCTCCAAGGCGATCACGAAGCAGAAGTCATCACAGAGACCACCATGGAACATCAAGTTTTGACAGGGAACTAGAGCGAGAAAAGGAACGTCAAAGAATAGAACGAGAGACAAAAGACAAACGCCGTTCACGAAGTCATGAACGTGGTATAGACCGTAGGAGAAGTAAAAGCAGAGAGAGACATAGAACAAAGAGTCGAAGCAGAGACCGCAAGACAGACCGACGTGAGCGAGACAAGGAAAAGGAAAATGACAAGAATCGAAAACGGGACTCTGATAAAAAGGGTAATGGCAGAGACAAGGATTCCGATAGGACACGAGATCGTTCAAAGGAACGCAAGAGGAGTGAGGAGAGAAAAGACAGGGAAGACAAGAGACACAGAGAAGATAGAGATTCTCGTAAGGAGAAAAAGCACAGTAGGAGCAGAAGCAAAGAGAGGAAACCACGAAAGAGCAGGAGCCCTAGCAAAAATGCACGTGGGAGAAGCCGGAGCAAAGAAAAGTCAAACAGACACAAAGAGAAATCGAACAAGCATAGCAGGAGCAGTAGTCGAGATCAGACTGACAGTGTGGAAAAATCCAGAAAGAGGGAGCACAGCACAAGCCGGGAGAGACCACGTAAACGAAGCAGAAGTAAGGACCGAGGTCATAAGCGTGAACATGAAAGCAAAGACCATGACCGTCATAGTTCTGAGTTTGAAGAAAAACAGAGAGGCAAAGATGAGACTCAGTGACATTTTACTGAATGGATCACATTGAATCCTTCCTCACCCTTTTTTTTTTCTGTTTGTTTAATTTTTGTGCTCTTCCCTAGCCCTGTTTTTTTTCCCTAACCTGTTCTTTTTAGCACTCAATTTTTTTTCCATTTCATTATTGTTACATAAAAGTCTTGTTTATGTAGGGAAGTGCCTTCCTGGGAATCCAAGTACATTGGACAGAACTTTTTTCCTTCCCTACATGTGCTGAATCTCTGCTCTCATGCAGCTACTGTTCGGTTTTTTTTATTGGGTCAGTGTTCCCAAATTGTACAACATGTTCCTGACAATGCCCTCATGTTTTAAATCTTCTGATGTAATGGACCTGCAGGTTCTGTATGACTGAGGCATTTATTTGGCCACTTTTCTTGTTCTAACGCCCGTGAGGTTGCGATTATCCGCCTGACGCTGCGTGCATGGCTTAGCTGACGTTTTGATAGGATGGCTATCTAATGATTTTTTTTTTTTTTTTCTAAAACTGAAATGAATGCAGACATGACAATTGAATTTTGTGTTGTCCAGTTGTAAACAGTTTTTAAAAAAAAATTACACTTTGAGCTAATGTGTGTTTTTTTTTTTTTTTTTTTTTTTTTTTGTCCCCCCCCTCAATGTGTTTACGTACGTTTTTGTTTCTGCTTTCAAATTTTGAGCCCATGTGAATGCTTCTTGATTTTACAAAGATGTCAGAGCAGCAGAACCTTAGACACAAGATGATCTATCCTTCATGGTGCAGATGACATAGCATGCAGGTACCGCTGGACACTGTATTCAACTCCAATGTAAGGTGAATGAAAAACTGGCTGCAGCTCAAATCCCAGCCCATCAGTCACAACTGTCTGCTATGTTTCACCTGCACTGGGCGCTGAAGCCCATTTTTCAGTCGCCTTGTATTGGAGTGGAGTACAGTGTACTGCGGTATTTGCAAGCTATGTTAAATTTTGGAGCGAGATGTGCTGCTTCTGCCAGCACCTTTTAATACAGAATGTAAACCTTGAAGACTAACTGCAGGCTTGGAGCATTGCTGATCTGTTATGTTATCCTGCAGATAATCACTGTCTATGTACCAGCAGGCATTCTGGCTACCCTTTCTGCCAGCCAGATTAGATTCACTCACTAGAGATATAAACCATACTGTCCGCACAATTACTGCCCAATAAATACATGATTTGATTATAAACGAGCATTTTTATAGCAATAGTTTGAAAAAGCACCCATGTTGAAATGCTGTATTTACAGTATATCTGTCATTCCTGATCTAGCCCTTCTTGGTTTCTTAATGTTTTTGGTCTTATTTTGTGAGTCTGACTGTAACATTCAGTAACTAGTTTTCATGGGTTAGTGAAGTTTTCACATGAGTATTGCAATTTGCATTACATTAAAGTGGTTATAATAGTAAAAAACTTTCCTCTGCCTATTCCAAGAACAAAAATATAATATATTGCAGCTTACTAGCCCTTAGATGTAGTGGCTGCATTAGTTTTCTTTTTTTCAGGCTTCTTTTGTCTGAGTGGTTTTTTTTTCTTTTCTTTTTTTTACCCTTGGGATTCTTCCAGTTACACAGTCCTAGGTGACAGCGCTCACACTAAACTTTATGGAGGAGTAGCTTTGCCACCCTAGGATATTAAAGACACTTTCTCTTCTCCATTATGTGTAGGGTTGATTTGTTCAGAAATAGCTGGAAACAGTTTTTAGTAATGACAGTCAACAAAGACTGTGCACAGTAGGCTTACGATTTATGGCAGGATCAACAGGGTTTTTTTTTCACATATCAAGCCAATTATTATTATTCAGGATTTATATAGCACCAACAGTTTGCTCAGCACTTTACAATATAAAGGGAGACAATGCAGCTTACAATCTAAGAAGATGACAAAATGCTTTCACTGGTATATTTAAATAGACCAAAAAAGTAATTGTTAGCACTTACATTATTTAAAATAATTGGCAAGTAATAGTTTGTGGTGTAGGTTCCAGTGGGACGCATTTTTAAACAAACCAAAAAAAAAATTTTCACCATTCTCTACCCCAGTGTTTCTAAACCCTTTTTCATTCAAGGCACCCTTTATAATTATGTACAGTCTTGAGGCACCCCATTCTAAAATGTGAAAAACTATTCTTGATAGTTTTATGAAACACCGCAACATCCACACACGTCGGACACCCAGCATTAGAGGTGATTTATTCCTCCAAAGCAAATACACTTTTACACACTGGTACTGAGTAGTATTCCAGTGTTTTTCTCTCTCAGTTTTTATCTATCTCTGAGCTAATGTGACCTCAGGACTGACGGAGAGGGGCAGGGGAGGGTCAAACTAGGATGCTGTGCAGGCAGCTGACATCCTGCTTAACTGGTGATGTCATTGGTTGTTGGGACGCTGGTCGGCTAGAAGGTTGGAATGGTACACAATAAAAACCTGTGGCTTTGTGTAACTAAAAGGCATGCTTGTTCCTCCTGCTGGCTTGTATACAAGATTTGGCCAATTTTTAGACATTTTGCCAAGGCACCCTGAAGAAGCCTCTAGGCACCCTAGTTGAGAAAGGCTGCTCTACCCTATCCAAAACGAAGTAAAATTTTGCCTTTTTGATACACTTTTAGTTTGGGGGAGGTTTAATGTGCTTTTCATTATGTTTGATTTGTGTGTTAAAGTTGTTCTAAAGGCAGAACATTTAACTTGCATTTCTTTTGTTAGGGTAAAAAATGTTCCAGTGCAAGTATTGCCCCCTCACCCCCCTTTATACTTAAGTCCAGTCCTATCTCGAGCTAGAACTGTGCCCATCTGCAGTGGTGCTGGTCTCTCACAGGACAGAGAGGTGGGAGCCAATGGCTCCAGCTGCTGTCAATCAAATCCTGTTAGGAGGGGCGGGTTCGAGCCGCAGTGTGTGTGTGTGCCTGTAGCCATAGACAGCCACATGACACATGAGCGAGCCCAAACTTTCACCCCCCATAGCATGTTACTTGCTATGGGGGTGCATGCAGAAGAGGTGGAGCCTCTTGCACAAGGTAAGTAAGTATAATATGTAGTAAAAAAAGAAAACTGAGCCTTTACAAATGCTTTGAGGTGCACTGTCAGCACTTTAAAAATGTTCTTCCTTCACCAATTCCCACCCATAGGACGTACCCAGACGTCCTTGGATGGAAAGGGTGATATCTCGGTCATGTAGTGATGACCGAGATAATTTTTAATTTTTGGCCCTGGTGAATCTGCGTTTTGTAAAAGTAATCCGTGTGGCTCAAGAGCTGCTGAATTACTTTACAAGCGGCAGAAGGGGGGGTCGGGGGGGTCCCCTCCCGCTTCCACCTTCTTTACTAGGCTCTCCCAAGTGATCTGGGAGCTCGGTAAGGATGCGACCAGCGGCATCTTGTTCATGAGACACAGTGGGAGGAACAAATGTTCCTCCCGCTGTGATGTCAGAAACCAGAAGTGACGAGGATTTCATCACTTCTGGTATTGCTCTCATGTAAACAAGCATCAGATCACACTGATCTTAGTGTTGATTTGATGCTTTGGAGGCGAAAGGAGAGCTATGAAGTCTCATAGACTCCAGATCTCTTCAAAAAGAGGACCTGTCATGGCCCATGCTATCACAAGGCATGTTTACATTCCTTGTGATAATAGTGATTAAAAATAAAAAAAAGTTACACTAAAAAAAAAAAAAAAAAAAAACATTTTTTTATTTAAAAAAATTTTTTAAGGCACCCCAATAGCGCTGTGCTCATGCACAAAGGCAAACACGTGTCAGTCCTGCATGCATATGTAGGACAGTGAACGCACCACACATGAGGTATCACCGTGACTGTCCGAGCAAGAGCAATAAACCTGTGTATCTAAACTGGTAATCTGTAAAAGCTTTTCAAGTGTCACCTATGGAGATTTTTAGGTACTGTAGTTTGGTGCCATTTCACAGGCGTATACAATTTTAAAGTGTGACATGTTTACCTCGGCTTAACACCTTTTATATTTTACAAAATTTGGGTATTACATTGTGGTTTTTTTTTTTTTTTTTTTTTTTTTTGCATTAAAATTCATTAGTGTATTTTTCCCCCAAAAAATTTGCTTTTAAAAAACTGCTGCACAGATACTGTTTGACCTAAAAAATATTCAACACCCACCATTTTATTCTGTAGAGCCTCTTCTTAAAAAAATATATAGTATATGTTTGAGGGTTCTAAGTAGTTTTGTAGCAAAAAAAAGTTTTTACATGGAGAGCAATGTAATAATTGACCCGGACTGGAAGTGGTTAAAGCATATATAAACCCCCAAAACAAATGTAATATGTTTTTTACCTTCCCAGTCCCTAGATGTGTTGGCTGCATTATTTTAAATTTTTCAGGTGAAGAAAGTTTCAGCATGTGCAGAAAGCACCTTTTTGATCTGACCATAAATGCAGCATTCGCTGCTACCTGTAAGCTAAAAAGAGAGCCCAAAGAACCTTATCTTGATTATGTAACTCACTAGTCCCACTAATCCACCATACAATGTAGAGGAATAAAGGCAGATGTGTTTGAAGCCCAGCCTGTGTTACCCACATGACTTCAATATATACTATAGAGAAGTGACTATAGACAGGAAGGGATAGAAAGTGTGTTATTTGCAGAATTACCAGGTAAAAAAAGTGGAGAGAAAAAAAAGCCTAAAATAATAATGCAGCTACCATCTTGAAGGACTGATGATCTACAGTATAATTTTTGCACTGCACCCTAAGGCTTTAAAGGATAAGTTCACCTTTTAACAAATCATAAATGCACATTTTTTTGCAGGTAAAAATGTTTTATTTGTTGCTGGTGCCATGCAGGTCTCCTACTGATCTGTCAATGTACCTGATGCTCATACATCCTGTACGGCCAAGCAGATACTTACTGACAGGAAGGCTCAATGCAATACCACGGCATTGTGGCGCACTGTCGTAGTTAATTGAAATCTACAAGCCGGCAACAGCAAAGGCTGTTGGGACTTGTAGTTTTCCCATTCACAGAATAC